GAAACAAAGAAAGGCATAGAAAATATTGTCCACAGAGGTTACATCAAAACAAAACAGGCAATCATCACTACTTATGGGCAGGGGATTTCCATCAATAGGGGAAGTGTTTGGGTCGGGGCCCGACCCATCGCTCTAAGCATCTTGGCAAAGATCATGGATCCCGGCTATGTTGTGACAACCCGAAGTTGTTCCATCGCCACAACCCGTTCCGTCCGTATAACTCGTCTTAAGCGAATTATTCCGATTTCGTTTTTGGATTAGGTCAATTAGGTTAAGACTTTTATTTTGACCTTGTAAGTATCCAAACATGTTAGAAACATATGAAAACATCTCAAACTAGTAATTAGAAAAATTTTAGTTTCGACCATATCGGGTGACGACAACTTAATCGGGTGCGACAAAAAGCCTCGGTTAACATCAGTATCGGGTAGAATTCCACCGTGTCTCAAATACAAACCATATTTAAAGTGGTTTAAGCCTCATCTGAACCCTTTTTCACTCTCTCTCTCTCTCTAACCTGTCTCCTGAATCCAAGATCTAGGTCCAAAAATCACTCATTTCAAGCTTCAAATCACCAAGGTAACTATCCTAGCTTCTAGTATAACATCCTTAGCCTTCATTTTCGTGTTTAAATCATGGAAGAGGACCATAAACATGTGTTTATGGCCCTAGAACACTCTTGGGCCGTGAACACATATAAAGGGGGTTTTTGAGCATTAAAACCATTCCAAACCACCATTGGAGCTTAGATATGGCTTAAGGACTTATTGGATTGGACTTAGAACACCTTAAACTCAACATTTGGGGAGTAAACATGAGTTTAATGCCCAAGAACATGCTTGGGCCGTAAACACCCTTTCATGGGTAGTAAACTCCTTTTTGGGTGTTAAAATGCCACTTACACACCTCATAAGCCTTGGAATAAAGTCTAGAAGCAACCAAAAACAAGTTAGGGACCTTAAACTTGATAAAAACAACTCTATAAGGAGTTCACAGCCGTAAACCTCTCAAGAATGGGTTCATGGGCCGTAAACTCCTATAAATGGGTTATATGGTCCCCTAAATTCACCCCTTGGCTTGTAAAAATGAGTAGAATCACTTGTGATTAACCTATGACCTTCAAAACACATAAGAAATGAGTGTGTGAGAGTTTATGGTTGTAAACTCATAGTTTACTGCCGTAAACTCATCAAATGGTCCATATGTTTGATTAAGTCCCTTTCTAATGCCTTAGAACCAAACCTAGCATCACCACTCAAATGATATAAGACCATTTAGCAATTAAGAACACCACTCACGAGTTTACGGCCGTACACTCATGAGGATGTGGAGTTTAGGGCCGAAAACTCTTCTAATAGTTTACTCTTGAAGAGTAAACTCCATATCCGAGCCATATATGTCCATAGATGTCACCCGGGTCCCTTCAAACACTTGAAATGAAGTGTTTTCATGACTAGAAGTGTATATCCTCAATTAATTAGTGATTTAAAGTCTAATTAGATACATTTGTGTATCATTTAAAATCACCAAGGAACTTCACACGTTTTCAAGCCTCGATCCGACGTCTAGCATCCTAGTCGACACATTCCTCGCCCGGTGAGTTCATACCCCTCAATTTACCTTTTTAAATGTTTTTACATGTTTTAGGGGGGGGGGGGATACAAGTAAACGCAACAAATTCTAGTTACTAATCATATGTGATTTATAACTTACAACCAAAAAGGATTTTCTATACTTTTAGCTATTTGTCAATAAAACTATTTTAAACATTCATCAAACACATTTTTCTAAACTAAATTGTTGTTAAACTACTTTCAAGATGTATTTAAATTACTCTTCTTTTAACTATATCAACATCAATATATTTATATAAACAAGACTTGAAGGACTTAGGACCGATAGCTCACCGTATTTCCTGTTCTTGTTTGATTGTGGTCTTAGGGTGTATTGTTATCCATCCGACTGTCGTTGATTTCTTATTTATATATCATATATATATATATATATATATATATATATATATATATATATATATATATATATATATATATATATTGTTTTAGATATGAAAGTCTTCATCTTATATAATATCTTTGCATATCAAAGGCATGCGACTCTACACTCTATATAACTATAATAGGTATAATTAATACTATTCCTCATTACCTCTATCACTATGATATCCTCTATAATTACTACCAACACGAGTTAAAACACATTTAAGAAAACACTCACTATACTATACTATAAGTTAGTATACTATAATACAAGAGAATGTGATAATCCAGAATATAACACACTAATCCTCTATACGACACTCTATTACGCAAATACCATGTAACCAGGGCTTCCCGAAAGGAAAGAAACACTACATGTATAGATCTATACAGGAAGGACGTTATTACATCCCGACTGTTATTTACAGTCCGAGCTGACTAGGCCCAGGGATGGAACTAGATCACTACACTGCGGATGATCGGGAAGGTCATCGGACCCTCTATAATCACTCAGTTTAGTTACATGAGAAAAATCATATTCATATCCAAATTAACACACTAAGAATTAAAGTCTAAGTAAATTCCCGAAGTAAATAAACATACATTGAAGTTGCAACACTACTACAGTAAATCAGCAATACTTTTACTCAGCTACGCTACTTGTATGAAACATACTACCTTATTCTAGCACTGATGGTCTCAATGAAAATACTTTTACACACTCAATGGATTTAACTTACATATATCTAAAACTGGAAAATATAGGATTTTCTAGGGATTTCTACTACTCTCAAAATTTATTTCAGCTTTTATATTACTTGATTGTAAATACTTTTATACAAGAAATGACACTAAAATCTTATGAACTCACCAGCTTTATGCTGATACTCGTTTTCAAAATAAGTTGTATCCTCAGGTCAAAGGTAGACATGTATTGTGCAGCTTTTGGGAAGATGGAGCATATACAAGACTCATCTTTTATTTTTGTTATACTTTTGGTATCTATCAACTGTACAGAACACGTTTGTATCTAAAATTTACTATATTAATGAAATGGTTGTTGTCGCTTGTTTTTACTATTATTGAAATGTTATGATACTGTACATGACATCCTCCACCCTAGAACGTATTCCGCCGTTCTCGGTTTTGGGGTGTGACATATGTCCAAACTACCCAGGTGAAGATAGCCGGCGAAATCCGTTTCAATGAAAGTTGCCATGGCATCTTCCATCTCTTGGGTCTTAGCGGCCACATCCAACTCAACCTATGGATTAAACTCCTAGGCAATCACCATCTCCTTCGCAACTCTCTTTCCCTATTCCACACTTGCCGCCACACACTTCCTACAACTAAACTAAACCCTAAAGAAACTAAGGGCTCTCGATCACCGTGTCCACCACCCAACTGGGCCCATCAGTAGGATCCATGCAATATCCTTCTCCAACGCTCCTTTTGCAGCATACTCAACAACCTGATCGACCTCTAGTTCTGTCGTACGATCACTTAGACTAACATTATCCAAACTAAGGGCTCCCACGCGATCATTCAAGCACCTCAACTCTCCTTCCAGCTTTGCCGCATGTTCCTGTAAGCTTGTCTTCTCGAGCAGCACCACCTCCTGATTGGCCTCCCAACTACACTTATCGTCTATCTTTTCCACCTGGGCTTTCAGCTCTTCACACTCAATGCTCTTCCTGTCAGAGTCAGATTGGATGGTCTCCATATCAGAGATACGTTCAGCAGTTGCGACCAAGTAAAATGACATGTGGGAGGCAACATAGCGCAAGCCATCGGCTATGTGCTCATCTGATAGGACAGTTAAGGCCTCAGTTGTAGCACGAGGAAAAGCATGCCGGCACCAATCAAGAGTGGTGTCATGATCGGAGACAAGGTCTTGGGAAGTTAGCCTCATGTTATGTCGTCCTATCACTTAGACTGACATTCTCCAAACTCAGGGCTCCCACGCGATCATTCAAGCGCGTCAACTCTCCCTCCAGCTTTGTCGCATGTTCCTATAAGCTTGTCTTCTCGAGCAGTGCCACCTCCTACTTGGCCTCCTAACTACGCTTGTCAGCTTCTATATTTTCCATCTGGGCTTTCATCTCTTCACATTCAATGCTCTTCCTGTCAGAGTCAGACTGGATGGTCTCCATATCTGAGATACGTTCAGCAACTGCGACCAAGTAAAATGACACGTGGGCGGCAACATAGCGCAAGCCACCAACTATGTGCTCATCTGTTAGGACAGTTAAGGCCTCAGTTGTAGCATGAGGAAAAGCATGCCGACACCAATCAAGAGTGGTGTCATGATCAGAGACAAGGTCTTGGGAAGTTAGCCTCCAAGTTGGCTTCTAGGCATCTAGATGAGAACCTACAAAAAGGGGGATGGTTTCGGTTTTACCAGGAAAATTTGATGCGAGACCTTGGGAAGGAGAAGACCCAATCTTTTCCTTGGCTCCTCCAGTAGTGGGAACAAGGATGATCTTGTCGGTACTTTCTTCTTCTGTATAATTGGGCGGTTCAGTCACCCTGGTTTATGCCCCCTCCAGCAGTTTCAGAGGACTTTCATCGGAGGTACGGTTGGAACTCTTGGTACCCCTAGTAAGAAACTCAGATTATGTTTCTTACGAAGAGGGGGCCCGGTGCTAGCCGTCTCAGTTTGAATATCGGAAGAGGCTTCCAAGAAAGCAAAACACCTCTTGACACAACGAAGACTCCTTGGGGACCCGGAAGGTGTAGGATCCTTCTGAGAAGCACTAGTGACAACAATGTCTTGTAGATTTGGATCCTCGTCGATGCTGGTAGCATCGTCAGAACCAACGGTAGCTTCGATCCCCCGACTAGAAACAGGGAGTGGAAGAGCCTCCATAATATCGAAGTCGCAACACTGAAGTTCACCATTGAATAGACCTTAAAGAGCTTTCTCAAAAGAAACAACCTAGAGCATTCTCAAAAGAAACAACCTCCACCACACCTGGCAACAAAACAAAAAACAATGGCGGTTCACCAAAATGCCAATTTAAGCGTGCTTTGGCGGTTAAAAGGCGGGAAGGGGGCAAGATAAAACAGTCTTAGAAGCACACTACCCTCTTTCTCTACGAAAAACTCGGGCATCTTCTCGTGAGCCCTCCAAGCGGTGCTCATTCCGTCGGTGGCCAAGAAGCAGTCAAACCAATCTTCACCATTGATGCTGATCTTCTCTAGGACATCCTCCAGTTACTTGTTAGCACCAAAAAGTGTTGGAACACGGTCGACATACACATTAGCCCTTGGGTAACCGAGCACCACGAGGTTACTGTTCACCTATAGTTTGCACGCGACCTAGGACTTGGCAGAGGAGTTCAAAACCCATTATCTTATTTATAGCAATAGGGGTCAGTTGTCTCACGTAAACCCGTATTCGTGGATAATCAGGTTGAAGAAATTTGTAGTAGGAAAATGCAGAACCGCCTCAAACAAGGCGACTGGAATGCCACCTTTTCCCTCCGGAGGATTGTAAAGTGATGCATCAGGTATGGGGATTTGCACTCCGTGTTCGGGGACAAACCCGAATCGGAACTCAAAAGATTCCCATTCTTCGGTGGTAAGATCCCTTCCCAAGAAACAAACAGTAGCCATGGAAAAGTATGAAGAAAAGGTCGAAAGGGTTTCTTTGGGGCAAGAAGGCAAAGAGAGAAAAGTAGAAATTAAGGATGAAATGCCATGAGGAACAAAGGTTTAAAAGCCACTAAAGTGGCAGCAAACCGTTTTCATGATGAAACCGCCGAAGAACAAATATTTCACTCTGCCAACTACATAAGCTATCAGTAGCATCCCGCCACATGTCTGTGAATAGACCAGAAGAACTTTGCTACATCATGAACGCATAATCCTATTGGTCTAAGGGACTTGTTAATGTTACCATGAACGACCACGTTAAATGTAACGGAAAGTACAAACGAGATATTATCTCACCAGAACCTTGGCCAAGGCCCGACCTTGGCCTAAGTAATCTAGCACCAGGTTGGCAGTTCATTCCTCTTCATGAGGAAATAATATTCCGCATGATTTTCTCATTCACTCACAACCAATCAGTACATGAAAAGAAGCTTAGGTGATGCCCAGAATTGACATCACCAGACAGTTAGTTAATGTAGGCATGATTCTCCCAGTCAGAGGAGGCTACGTCTCACACTCATTGGACGAGGTCCCCACGATTCGTTAGTAACAGGTATAAAATGATCTCTTCCACCTTAAGGAAAGGATCCATCTTCTCCCTCACGAATTTTACCCTAAAATTCCATCCCTTAGAAAACTAACTTGATCGTCGGAGTGACGTCCCAGAAGAACACCTGGACGTCCTTTAACGATTCTTATGTGTTGTGTTATCAGGAAAGCTTCCATGACAGATCCATCATCCGGTATCCGAACCCATGTAGAGCATGTCACAACAGATATCTAAGTCTTGTATAAAATTTTCTAGACCATGCAAGTCTAAACCCATCCAAAACACATATACATATGATCATAATTTAAAATTCATATTTATCTTAAACATTGGAAACTATTTAATGGAAACCCCCACTTAAAAACTCATTCTAAAAAATGTTCTAAAATCAATTTAAAGGGCATGCGCATTTTGAAAACTATAACACCAAAGCATTTGAATGAAAAATTCTACAAATTATACATATAGTATTCAAGTAATGATATGTCTTATATTGCACACAAACAACAAATAAAAAGGCATAATGTTAGGTGTGTCAAACCCAACAAATAAAGGGGTACAAATGACTCCAAAAACACTACTACTTTGCACTAAAAAGGTAATACAAGGTAAGTATGGTCGATCCACAGAGACACAAAACAAATGTTTATACCCTTTTTGTGTAAGGTACAAATATGATCACAAAAGATGGGGATTTAAATGCAATTGTTCAAATAAAGAACTAAATTAATAAGTAAGAAAATGATTAAGTGAAATAAATTCAAGAATTGTAAGTACTCTAACTCTATGCAAGACAAATTAGCAATGTGATTCCATGGATGAAATGATATTTGTTCAATTCTATCTAAGTTGGTACTTGGAAATGCTAACAAGCGCTAGCACCTCCCATTCACCTCATTGATTAACCAAAATAAGCTCTTTGATTATTCCTAACCTTACCAATCTAATCTAAACAAGCTCTTAGAATTAGGTTGAAAGATTGCATTAAACTTTATGTGAATGTTCCCAACAACACTCAATACTCCTCATCAGCTCGAGAGCATAAGATTGCGTGAATAAGATTTACACTAAATTCATTCAATAGAAATTAGTTTAGTGGTTGTTACCTAGTCCATGTTAAAAAAAAATAGGGATTTTGCAATTAGATAACTTGAATGATCTAACCCTAATTCAAATGTCCAATAAGAATCACAATTAGAATCAAACATTCAATTGAAACGAAATTAAATTCACTAGATAGAAAATTGAAAGCAAACATCAAGTCATATGATTGAAATCACAACTAGAAGTCAAGACATAAAGTTGGAGAATCTAGGCTTCTAGCCACTCACGACTAGAACAAGATCAAAAATATGGAAAAAGAAATTAAAGTTCTTACAAAATGAAATCAAATGTTCCCAAGTGTTTTCAAGCAACAATTGCCTTCAAAATGCTCCCCAAAATCGCCTCTAGAACTCACAAAACCGACCCCCCCCTTTTCTGGAACCATTTGCTCCTTTTTAGAAAGAAGAAAAACTGTTTTTAACCTGTGACCACGTTTACACGGCCGTGTAAATGCAAAAAGTACATTGCGAAAATTGGCCAGGTTTTCAAAGTACAATGCTCGAGAGACTTTGTTTACATGGCCCATGTAAACATTTACACAACCATGTAAGCCTCTGAAAAGCCAAAATCTTCATTTATTTGATATCTTCCTTCTCGGTGCCCTGTAAATCCCGAAACTTCATCTACATCTCTTATTTATCTCCTCAAGCAAGATCCAACCTCCAAAAGTCCCTGAAATATCACAAAAATGTATGAATGAAATTGCCTCATGAAAAATCCCGAAAAACATGTAAATGCATGAGTTTAAGCCTATATGCAATGCACTTTCATGGAGTAAAAGTACAAAATGGATGCATGAAATGCATCTAACAAATCTCCCCAAGATTGAACCTTTCTTGTCCTCAAGAAAGAACAATTAAATTTTAAATCGGAGAAAATAACATAAAAGAGAAGAAAAGAAAATCAAAATCAAAACTTTTGAAACTTAATGCAAAAATCAAAACAATCATGAAAAAGATCTAACCCAATTAACCGCGGTTTTGTAGCATAGTTGAGAATGTACATGTTGTGCCTTGAGTCAACTTGGATTTAGTCTTAAAATATTATATAACAATAGAATACGACTTTAGCTACTCCATAATGCAACTCAACAGAATCAAAGATCACAACACTTGTTCCTTCTCAATAGCATCAAGTCAATTCATGGAACAAATTATGGTCTTACTCTCATGAAATTGAATGTGACAAAACGTGCTCAATCATCTTGTTTTACAAAATATGACAATGACCAACTCCAGCTATTTGTTGATTAACAACAATCTTTCTCTAAAAAAATATCTTCTAAAAATTCCCTAGTAATTACCCAAATTGGTTACAAATTTCAAATCACTTACACAAGTCAAAGTAACTAACATTCAGTCCCAATGTCATAAGTTCAAATCCAAGTCCAAAGGAATCTTTTGGCAGCCAAGCATTTTTTCTAAACATATTATTCAGTTAAACTATAAACACAAATATATAAAAACTTTCTAATTACATTTTTCTACAAATAAAGCTCATGGCTTTCTTTGAAATCTGTGTAACGGGGTTCAAACCAACACATCCAGATCAAATGACCTTAGTGTGCTAGATTTAAAGAAATCCCTCGGGTTTACTTGCCTGAATGTCAAAGGCCACATATTAGCTTTACTTTGTTATTATTAAGTTCATGACTTTCTATGGAACCCGTGTAGCGAACTTTCAACCCAATCAGTCCCAAACAATTTAGCTTTAGGCGATTAGGTGTAGAACACCCCTCGGAGTTTACTTGTTCGAGTCCCCAAGGTCACAGATTAACTTAATAAAAATTTTATTTATTTATTTATTATTTTTTATTAAAAAAACAAAACAAAGATAACATATAACACTCTTATAAATTTATTTGCTAGGCCTATTTCTTTATTTTTTTCATCCTTGACTTTTCTATCGTAGGACATCTCACGATCTATTACCGTGAGGGGCTTCCAGACATTTTTCGGGGGACTGAAACCAACATGCAAAGAACCATAGGTATAGTTGGAAATATGTCCCCAAGCATGTTATACAAAAGGGAATGAGTAGAAAGAACTTTTTAGAGCGTTGGAAGGATCGGGACATTAAAATTTTGTATCTTTTTATGTATTTTTGAATTTGGAATTTTGAGTTCAATTGAGCATTTACTACTCATAAGACCAGTCATGTGTCCCAAATAATTGACTCGTACATGCTATTATGTTCCAATGTTGACAATCTTCTCACTTCTATTTTGCAAAACTAGCTTCGGGAGGTGTGTTCGTGTGTGATTAGCTTACTTTTAGATTTTCAATAAAAGAGCAAGTCTAATCTCAAGGCATACGACTCACTTACCAGCTCAACTGTTTTTAGAAGATTTGATTGCTCGGGATTGGGATAATTTTTTTTTGAAACGAATGAATGCAATGCAAAAATTTAGATGCAAAATGCAAAGCATAATAAAAAAAAATATAAAGAAAATCTTTTTGGTTTTTTGAAAAATTTTCTATGCAGAAAAATGAAAAAGAAAAAGAAAAATAGTGCAATATGTACAAAACTACATGCAACGGGATCTATGCATAGATGGATGCCCCTCCCCAAGTGTAAAATAAGCATTGTCCTCGATGCTTGGATAGAGGCATAGCCGGCCTATAGAGAGCCGGATGGTGGATGATGGTAGCTGGGTTGGGAATGGGTCCAAAACAGTCACAAATGCACAACAATTGAATTTTAAGTAAAATATGAACGATTAAAGATATGGAAAGAATTTACCGAATCGTTATTGAAGCCTCACAATTATGGTGTGAACCTCCTCTTCATCCTCCCCAAGCTATCCATGAAGTATTTTTGGAGCCGGAGATTCATTTTCTAGGCATAAAAAATAAGTTAAAACCATTTGGGACATAAAAAAATTTGAAATTTACCAAAGACTAAAATTTTTTAAAAGAAATGACAAAAATACCCTCGGGTTGTCTCCCGGTTAGCTGCCCTTGTTTTAAGTCGTTGGCTCGACTTGGCCCCTGAATGTGCTTTGTTCTAAGTAGGTGGGCATTTCCAACACATCAACCTTCTCGCCACCTCCTTCAATGGCACATTCACCATTACTTTGGCTTTCTTTTTGCGCACAAACCAAAAAGGACTTAAACCCTTAATATCGGAGGTTGTCCACTTGATCCTTCTTTGGTATTTATTAAGCAGGGTTATCAATTCCTTCTCTTTCTTCTTCGATAGTTTATTTCAGTTGATAACTGGTTGAGTGCTCTCCTTCTCGTCATGTATTATCTTTAAAGGGTCTGATGGAGTTTTTGCTCCCGAATCTTGTGCTTGTTTCACCGGT